CGGTTGGTACCAAAAAAGGAGGATCCGATTGTAAGAGAAAAATAAAATATGAATGAAAACGAGCGAATACACACTACGGGATAGCATGTATATTGGTTATGTAATATATTGATATGGAATGTATGGTACATAAAATACTACCTATATTAATATAGAAGTACAACATCAATGTAGAAGAGTGGGCATTGAGTGGGAGACGAAAATCTTAGGGGGAAAGAGGTTTTATTTATCCTAAGGTCGGATAAAATAGGTTGTATTGGGTTCATACAAGGGAGAATAAAATGAAATCCCCAATTAATGTTTTCCCAATATTTTACAGCAGTGTTTTCTTGTCCATTATTTTTCCACATAGTGCCTTTCAGATTCAATGCAATAACGCCATTGGTTAGGAAGAGCTTTGCTACCTCGTGTGTTCAGCTTTCTTTGCACGAGCGCAAGGGGGGGGGGCGCTGAGTGATCTTGGATGATGGACTGTTACATTGAAAATATATGTTAAACCTGAGACGCGAAAAAATCAAAATTATTAAAACAATGTTTATCTACCTCATGGCAGTATGTGTATAATTGAATTTGCCTTTTTACGCTCGCCTGATGGACTAAGAAATAAGTGAGGTTCCATTTGAAAAATAAAACCAAATTACATCAATATCTTGTGAAATTCAAGTGATAAAATAGAAATGAATACAATCTCTCAGTTAGCCTCATTCCCTTATGCACTTCCGTGAAAACTGCATTGCAATTACTCCAACCGTTCAAAAGTTATAGAAGTTGCCAAATTTACGTGACTCACCTTGCATATTGGGACGATTTCTCTCAGAACAACTTTACAATATAAAGACACTTTTGAGCGAGTTTGCATGCGTGTACTATTAATGGTACAATACATTTACATATCGGAAAAGGAAACCACATAGGAATTATGGGATGCTATAATGAAGCGTGCATCATGTACGACACACGTCCGATGGTCACCATAAGTGGAATTTGTTTCCTACTTTCGCGTCAGTGTACGTGTAATGTTAAATTACTTAGTTGCAACATTGTGTTGGTGGTATCTCGTCAACAAATGCGAAAGAAAAGAGTTTGGCATTATGAGAATTTATTTTTTGTAGCACAGTGTGCCATCTCAGTTTGTAGATACTCCCTTTTACAATAGTGTTGGAAGAAACACGTTTTCCACACTGCAAACGTTACGTGGTTGTCTGTAAAGTTCATCCTGTCATGCAAACAACAGTCTTACTGTCAGATCAATGTATTAAACACGAAGACAACACCCGTGTCGTATTACGTACGACTCTCATATTGTTTTATTGTACAAAATATTCGTTTTTAATTTACTTTCGCGCCTCACCACATACTGACTTCGTTCTATCACCATTACCTCCCGAAATAAAACGTTCACTACACTAATGGAACTATACTTTGACTAAAACAGAAAGTCCTTTGAAGGTCGCGAACTGAAATTCATCGAATCAGGAACTTCAAAACAAAACTTTTAAGTTGTAACGAAACTCGCGAATGGATGATAGTGTCCACAACTCCTGCCTGATCGTGAACTTGAAAGAACTTTCTGTTTTAATCGGAGTGTTATGACGAAAGTAGTTGACGTGCCCAAAACATCAGTTAATAAGCCTATCATTCAACACTCAAGCCTCCCGCTGTCTGAGGTAGAATTGGCTGCTTTAATCGGTAGTGTTCCGTAGTTTCCCCAATCAATACCTGAGTAATATCCTAACAAATGGGTCACGGACCGCGCGCGATCTTTCCTTCCTCTTCCTCGTCCTATTCTCACCCCCTCACTCAAATACACACACATGCTGTACACTAACACACGTGACGAGAGACCGGTCGGGAGCTTAGAGCCTGTCTTAGTTGGGGCAGTGCTCCGCTGGTGGAATATGCCTGGTTGCGGGAAACCCCGTTAGCCAATTCTTTGGCGTCGAGTCTCACCATCCAGCGGGGAGAAATAACCGCCATTAAACAATCACTACACGTACGGAACTAATGACGTTAGCAGTTGGAATCACTACTCAATCAATCAACGAATCAAAAAAATAAAAAGAAAGAAAGAAACCGCTGAAGCTAGCCCGCTCCGTCCTGTCCGCGCTGCGGCGCGCCGCAGCTCCAAAGGAGGACTTGGCGCGGTCGGGCCCACAGCCCCCGGGTCCGCGGGGGTCCTTATGGACTTAACCCCGCGCGCCCCACGCAGCCCGCCCCGGGGCCCCGCGGCGGGGAGGGGGCGGCGACGGCAGATGCGACGCAGATAATGGAAGCGGGATATCGCGCCGCGATGCTCGTTTGTTTATGACGTCCGCACGCCCCGGCCGGCTGCGCGGGTGGGGGGAGGGGGGGCGTGGACCGAGGAGGTTGTCATGAGGCCGGACAGGATGGTTGGGAAAGAGAGGCGCTGCTCAATATTGTGGTTGATGATCGGTTTCAGTTTGAGGCCTTGAAGGCTCAAATCGCTGTTTTACGTAGGTTTCTGCGGTTGATTGTATTGGTGATTGATTGATTGATTGTGTTTGCAGACACCTCAACTACTCAGGTCATTAGTCCGGTAAGTCTAGTGCTCGTGTTTGCCTCGGGAGGAGGCGGTGCTCTTCTTCCGCTGTATGGCGACCTACCGTCGGCCAGCAGAGTTTTCCCAGCCAGGTATCTCCCAGCAGCTGGTTTTGGACTGATTAATGTAGTCATTGTTTGACTATATATGCATTATTTTGTGGTTGGTGAAAATTATCCTGAAAGTCTCAAGGGGGTGGCAGCTTTTCAGAGAAAGGAAAAAAAAGCACAGGTGTATGTGTGTGTGTAAGAGAGAGAAAGAGAGAGAGAGGGGGGAGGGGAAAGGTATGGGATGGGGGAGGGAGAGAACGGGGGGTAATGAAGTTGTCATTAGTTCACACATGATAGTGGGAAAAGTGTGTCGCTAAACTATGGTTTATGGTAGGTATGTCGATATAAACCATTCACTTGCTGTGTACAGTGATGTAGTGAACGTTTTTAGCCTTGTTAAACAATTCCACATTTTTACAGTTAGCTGTCTTCATCTTCTAAAGCTGCTGTTCTTCTAAAGACTAATTGCTGACTTGAGTCCATTACTTCTCGCTTCTTATTTATTCTATTCTATTATTTTATTCTGCACTTTATGACGTACATGTTTGTTTACAGCTAATGTAAGAATCTCATTGAGAAATGTCTTGAACTCAAAATCATACCTTTGCAGATTTACAAATGTAATTAGGATTAAACGAATTTCTCAATGGCGACTGAAGGGACAATTCTGGAATCAGATTGCTCTTCTCCATTGAATCGTTCAATCAGTCAGATTTTTATCACTCGATGAAATCGTTGAAACTGTTCGACTTTCATCATCCGAGAAAATGTACCTTTAATTTTGTAAATTTTGAATTTGAGTTAGATTGCTGAATACTTGTAGAAAATAACTATTTTTCAAATGTACAATAAGGCTAATACTTCTCCATTTATTACAATCAAACTATTATTAAATTCAGCAGCGCGGAAGCTTACAATGCTCCTAAGAGCTGTTCAAGATTTTGATGGCTACGTGATAGATGGCGATGTTCATTATTTGCGATAGCGACATTAACACAATGTTTCTTGTCACTATAAATTATCGCAAACAATTTCTTATCCAACAATGGAATGGATTTAATTGAAACTCGTGTATAAATTCTGCTCAGTGAAATGGCTGGAAGACATTAGGTACTGAGGTACAAATCATGCTGTCAATTCCTTTTCATTGTGTAAATTAGAACACTGGAAAGTGAAAGAAACTTAACTGTTCCAATGATTGTAGGAGTGCTTCTGTAAATAGTTACCCCAAGGGTCCTGGTTTTGCATTTTATTTGTTATTATAGAAACATGAAAGCATTTGAGTGGACATTTGCATAAGAATATTGGATTCTAATGTGTCGCCGTGTTATTCTCCCTGTGTGTAGGAGTTAACAAGCGTGGTGACGTGTTGGTAATTTGGTGCAGTGCTACCAAAATTATTTCTCTATGAGAAACATTTCATATTGTTTCGAAGATGCTGATAACAAGTACTTTTTAGCTCAAAAATTTAGGAGAAACATTTTTGAAAGAGAAATTTTCTTACATGTTAAGTAAATAAAGGTATCAAAAAACTCTCTATTTCTGTTTTTTTTCTTAATTTTATAGTTGTCTTTTTCAAATCATAACGACTATTTTTATGTTCACCTACCACCTCCCAATTTATACCTGCTTCCATTGAAACTAGGAGATTCGTATTTATAATGGGTAGGCTTTTCCCTGCATTTTGTTTTTTGTATTCATCCCTTTAAGTTTTTTAAATTTTTGATCAATAATGTCTTTATGGTACGTTCCCTCTTTATTATATATATATATATATATATATATATATATATATATATATATATAATTTACTTCATACTTTTTACTTGTATTCGTTTTATTATATAATTTCATCTCTTATTTCTGTGAATTGTTGTTTTTGATATTGACACTAAACAATATGTTCAAAGATGTTCATACATAAATATTTTAAAATGTTAGTTAAGATTTTTTGGTTAGTGTAATTTTACGCGTTAAAACATTTTTATTAAACGTAAATTAATTGCATAAAGAGAAAAATGATACTCGAGTGATAAATTATTAATATTATTTTAAACTGTAAATGTATCCATATGTTTAGTATATTTTTATTATAGAACCGTGTTAACATTGCGTCATACTCCATCTTCAGCGATCTGATATGAAGTGAGGAAGTCAAGTACCTGTTAAGGAAGGAATTTGATAATAACGAACAATAAATATTCGCTAATCTTCAGCGTACGTTTTCAGTGCAATTACCGCATGGAATGTTGGAGATAAGTATTTTTGGTTCCGCGAATAGTTGTAATCGCGGCTACGTACGCCAAGATCACTACTCTACGGCTGTGCGCACTTGACCATTCATAACCAACCCGTTACCGGGGCAGCCGACCTTCGGACAACCTTCCGCCATGTTAAAACAAACACGGAACCTGCCATCATGCATCTCAGGAGATCGCATCCGAGCTGGACTCTGTTATTCAGCTGGATATCAAGCCTCGTACGTCAACGCGGTGCCTCTCAAACCGACAATTTCGTGGGGGGCCGTGCCTCCTGAGCAACGCCCTTGTGCCCGCGGACAGCGCTGTTGGACACAGCCGCACATCTGGAATTGCTCCCAGGACGAGAGGAATAAACAAACGAACGTTGCACCAGGAAGTGAGCGTTCTTTGGGACGTAGTGCGAACACGGAGTAGATCTAGTGGGGACAGAATCGCTGATTGATTCTCGATCATGACTTTTGCTGCGGGTTCACTGAATCACTTACTCAAAGCGGAGCGTTCATTTTATATCACACGAAAAGTATGAGACGTTTTTTACAAGTATAAAATATTAACAGTTCCCATTACGCACTTAAATTGGGATTGTGATTGCAAATTCTCTCAATACTAATAAGAACAAAGTGTGGAAATTTTAGCTAAATCGGTAAAGTGTTTTTTGCGTCTACATGCGACAGACATACGCACATTCTCTTTTATTTATATAGAAGATTGTTTTATTTATTATTTACTTCACGTCTAAAGATAAAAATAATGTGTGATGTATTTGGTCAAAGATTTCTGAGCACGTTTTCTTCGTATCCCTTACATCTTCTTTGACAATATTATGTTAAGCAAAAAGTGTTTCTCGCAATATTTGATGAGAAGTAAATATTAGTTCCCTTATTATAGAAGTTACGCCATATGCAACAACAAATAATCTGCAGATTCTGACTCTCATCCTGTAACGTTCCCCGCATGAACAAATCGACTCACTACCACGAAAACATGGAGATGGATTGATAAAAACTACCGTTCACGAAATAACTATATTTCCATCAACACACTATAGAGACTTGAAAACTTGCGTAGGTCTTCAAGCTTTACTGCACGTTCAGAAGCAAAAGAAGTCATTTCGGCATTTCTTCAATTCATCTAAGGAAAATGGACGAAAAAACTCATCAAGGAGGGAGTAATTGACCAAAAAACTACAATACCACTTTTTAGTGTTGTGTAATGATACATTTCAAATTGTAACTATTACATTTCTAAATGAATAAAATAAAAAAATATAAATACAATTTTTAAAACAAGTGTCATGTTAGTTTTTGATGCTCAATAGAATCTATAATTCTATGGAAATAGTGATTCAATAGAAAATATATTGCAAGAAATTTAAATTTGTGTATCAATTCTAAGGCTTCAATGTTTTCTGACGACACATTGTAAAAATTACGTACATGTATTATATGTTGGTTCGTAATATAGTGATGTTTAATGAATATGATTTATACGTTGCGTGTTCTAATTCACTCCTATTCAATTATTTCTTTGTCACGTACAAGATTATTAAGTAAAATGCAATATTGGAGTATATTTCTCCCAGTTCGCGGCTAGATACCGTCAAGTACAGTTGTAGTGTCAGAGTGCGTTGCTTTTGTGTTCACGAATGAAAGTGTTGTGAGGTTAGAAGTGAATAGTGAAGTGTTTATCACATTCATAGTACCTAATTACTAAAATTAACCTATTGGAAGAGAGCTGCTGAGGCGGCTAAAACATCATACCATGGATTCTTCTGACTACAAGGGAGCCATAACCTACAACACCGAAAATCAACATGACCAAGTAAGGAAATATTCTAGTGCTAATTTATCATATGTTTTTCCCAGTATATAAGAAGCTGTAATAATAGAATCACAAGAAGGAATATCTATCAAAGACTATATTAATAAAGTTGCCACGATTTTGAATGTTAATGACATAAGATTCATATCTTGTATTGACAAGATATGAATATTTACTTTTTCTGATGTATAACAACAGATAATGTTTATTCTTTGCCAACCAGGAGCTTGCCAATTAACTCACAGAAAGCCACCAAATAATAGAAATAAAGAGCCATTACCTTGCAGTGAGACCATTTGTTAGTAAACATGGAAGAGTAATAATATAAAATGTTTCTCCTATCGTTCCCCATGAAATTATAGAGAAAGGATTTAGTACCAGAGGAATTACAATATCTACTAAAGTATCCTTTGTAAAAGCTGGCCTATCTGAACTTGGGTATTCTAATATTATGAGTTTTTCAACACAAGTCTTTATTGCTCCAGAAAACTTTAAAAAAATGACCAATTTCACAATTGTAGTCTATGAAGGTAGATCATATACAATGTTATTTCCTTTTTGATAACATCTCTTGCCTCATCTGCAATGATAAGGGTCATGTTGCAAACCAATGTTAATCAAAAATATTTAATAATGATTCATTAGAAGATAATTCTGTAATCAAATAATCTACCAATATAACTACTGGAAATACATTATAATTTCCTGAAGCTCATAACCTAAATACAACCTCCATATGACTTTTACCTAGTAATAAAATAAAAGATAATAGTAATAATAAAGAATATCAGAATTCTCAGTCAATAAAAAAGAAAACAGGAAACAATATAGAAAAACCCAGAAACCATAAGTAGTAAAACAATAGAACTAATTGCAACTACTATATGTTCTATTGAAACTAACCCTGATAAATTTACTTAAATGATCAACAATTTTTTAAATATTTTTAGAAGACAACAAATGATTTTCAAGCTTTAATAAAATGATGATAGATACTTACTTTCTACTTGAGGAAAGAGCTATTAAGAACAGATTTTCCAGAATAATAGATAGACTTAAAAAAGTAGCTCAACAATTTACAGATACAGTTAATAATCATAATAATAATAATTATTATTATTATAGTAATTTATTTAGAATACTTACAGAAAATATCAAGCAAATTCTCTCTAGAAATTAACTGAAATTACAGAAAGTTAATTACTTTTAACTACGTTCACTTACAGTAATAATTTTGTTAATGTACATTATTTGGAAAAAATATATGTAAAATATAAATAATTGGTTGATATGAACAGTTTATATAAACAATTAAATTAATTGAATTAATAACAGGAAATAAATTACATAACTTACAATAATAATTGGAATAATTTCCTTGAAAAATGACATGATCAATAAAGCTTGCAAGTGCTCATAACAAACATTAAAATAATTAAATTTTAAACTACATAAAGTCTCATTACCAAATTAAAACTAACATTAACAATGTATTACATTAATAAACTAGCACATTATGATACACTGGCACATAACTTATAATTAGAGTGAGTAATACCATTATCTTACAGTAATAGTTTAATTAACTTACAATAAGTTGAATACATTTCATGTTAATGTTAATTGTATGTGCTTACTATTTCCTGACATTAATTATATTATTTACTGCATTACTAAATTGTATATTGCATTATTTAACTGAATTGTTCAAATAGTGGTACATGGTTTTTAATTACAGAAAAGTTAAAGTAATTCATATATCTTATATGGACACTAAGGTGACGTTTAAGCAATATTGTGAAGTATTTATCATCAGCTGATTTCATGTTAACTGGGAGATTATTTAAATCTGTGCAGCAATCCAGAAAGGATTCTTGTTAGTTGAAGATTTGCTGGTGTATATCCTGTAATAGACCCATCTCCTCTAATATGGTAGTTATATACTTCTTAATTACTCTCAGTATATTGATTCCAATTATTTCCCAATAGGAGTAATACTTTGTAAGAGTATAGTACTACAACAGACAGTAATTCATATTTAATAAAAAAATATTTTCAGGACTGACTTGAATATAGTTTGAAAATGCGTTTGATACATTTCTTTTGTTGTACCATTAATCTACCGACACAAGAACACTACAGAAGAATAATTTAAATATATTCAGTCTATACAGCACATTCTCTAGTTATATTCTTATCTTTTCCCTTAAATAATTATTTTTCTAACCCAAGGTATTTTTAAAATATAATTCAATGGGTCTTAATTGGGTTTTACACCAGAATTAAACATTGAAAATTATTACAAAATAATTATGACCCAGCTGTTCTATGACTTCAAGAGACCAATCTTAAAACAAGTACCAAAATTAAAAGGTTATTATTGCTTTGAAGCAAACCAATTAAACTGTGTACATGCTAGTGGAGGAAATGCTGTGATTAATAATTTTGAAGCTCACGAAATGTATCTTCAATCTAAGCATGATAGCAAACAAAACCCAAATTATACAATTCCACTTCTTTTTTTATTTCTGTGTTAATTTTTTTGTGATAAAACATATTAATTTCTTTTGTAAATACTAAACAATTTACATGGTTATGGAGTGTTTATGTTTCTCCAATGCAACTTTTCTGACTTGTCTTAACACTATCACTTGTCTTCTTTTTATCTCGTACCATTCTCTAGACTGCGGCGAATGCTTCTCTCTCTCTCTCTTTTTCTTGTCTCCTTCTGATAGCTCATTTTCCTTTTCTCTCCTTTTTCACACTGATCTCTTTAATCATATCTTCCTCATAATCTGCAAACCTGCGTACTATATTATTTCTCGATCTATAGTTTCTGTGGCTTGTATTCCACTCCCTCTTTCTGTTTTCTCCCGCAATCAGATTTTGTACCTTTTTACTTTCTCGTTACGTTACGTAGAACGTCTGTAATGCTGTGCGGAAAAAAAGGGAGAATTTTCGGCAGAAGAACTCTTATTACAAGGCCCTGCTAATGAAAAAGAGGATATATACAGCTGATAAATTCAGAAAAAAAATTCCTTAACACGTGGTGTAGCTAGAATTCATGTTCTGTGAGCCTTTGATAGTGAAAAATGTAAAAACGGTAAAACGTCTGTCCATCTGTGAACAACGCTATCGGTTAAACCATTCAGCCGACTCCAAAATTGATATTACTCAATCGATCTGGCTTGTGTCGCTGTCCAGTGAATTTGAAACGTATATTTTACTTTTGGAGAAAACTTTACACGAAGCCCTTGGAACTTCTTTCAAATTTTCACAAAAATTCCTCCATTGAATTTGATTAAATTTTTGTTGGATAGTGTGAAGAACGTTTAAGCCAATGGTGTAGATTTAATGTTCGTCAAAAAACTTAATTGTTCGAAAAACAGCAAAAGTTAAACACTTTTTCGTAGTCTTCCTACCACTAAAATATTTAACAGATTTTTTCCAGAAATGAAATCTGTTTCTTAACAATAGATATTGAAATGAGATCGTGTTTAATTTTTCGAACATTTGAGTACTTTTCGCGTAATGTTGCGTGAAAAAACAGGCGAGAAAATTCTGTACGTGCCGGTCCAGATGGCCGAGATTGATAAGGCAGTAGTGCCGTGGCGATTTCGGACCGAAGGATCGCGGGTTCCAGTCCCGCCTAGGTCATGGTTGTATTGTGTTCGTCCTTTCACACCCCTATCATTATAATATCGTGCCATCCTCATAGTTACCATACCGTTACACGCAATAGTGGTTGATAATGACCTAGTAGTTGATGTGACCTTAAGTAACAAAAAAATGTTCTGTACGTGCTGTTTTAGCATCGCTAGTTTATCTCTTTCAGACGTGCGCTGGTGAAAAACTCTACGGCCATAACAAATGAAGACACGTTTTATATATTTCGTCTACTGATCTAGAGCAAAGTTGAACCGAGTTCAACCCTGGATGAATGGGTCAGGTGATGTTTGGATGAGCAAAGAACTCAACGTCCTTGCGTTTCAAAATTTCTGAGTCGGGAGGTTATCTCGATTGCGCAAAGGTCGATCGGAGCTGCTTTCTCGGATTCTGCTTTTCTCTTTTTTCTTCCTCTTCGGCTATTGAGGTGGCAGTTGCGATCCTCTGGGCCCAGCTACGTAAAGAAGGATTTCGTGAGGTCGTGTCTCCTCTTCGTTGCAAGACCTTTATCCGGTTTTGTACCGGAACGGTGCCGCGTAATAGCACATTCGCGCTTTGTACTTCAATCCAATGGCGTGTTTTAGAGTAACCTTTCGTTGCATTGACCGGTTCTGAAGATTAGGGCAGTATAAACTCCGCCGGCGGGTCGTAAACATCGCGAAAATGTCACGTGGCGTTTGAATCAATAAACATTATGCCATTGGTTTGTTTAAGAATTGCAGAAGGAGCAGAAATAACGGTTACGTTGTTGCCAAGTCGTGAGAGTGGCTTCCTTGAAAGGTCGAGTGCTGTATAATCCATTCCTGAACAAGCTACCTATTGAGTTATTTCCTACTTTCTTCTCAGAGCAAGAACAGAGTAGAGAATTTTACTTCTCTGGTTTCTTATCTTTCCTTAAATTAATTCCTTTTTTCTTAGGCCATCTTCCCTTTATTATCTTTTTTATTGTACATCCTTTAATTAAGCCATGTTTATAATTTACTCTAATATTTTGATACTGAAAATTTTCCACCAGTCCAATAATTTCGGTAGTTCTTAATTCGTTTATCTCATTTCAAAACGAAATCATTTATGGTTGTTCACTCAAGCTTAACTACTCTTGACTTCGTTCTAAAAGTGATAGAACAATTTCTCAGATTAGATCAAAATCTAAATTCATGAATCATTATAAGTTTATAATTTATTCTATTCATTTTTCATTAATATATGATGTTCCTGGTCAATTTTCCGTACAACTGAAGTTAAATATAGAGTTAGTTGCAAATTATGAATTATTGAATAGAATCGCTCATTTTTGTTTGATTAAGAAATGAAATATTGATTTTTCTGTGTGC